CTTAGCATAGTAAGTCACACTAGAGTAGGCCCAGTGAATCACCGGTAATTTGGTGAATCCACTCTTTCATAAGTTCCACTGATTCAAATGGGCCTACTCTAGCTACAGTTTACTCTGTGGCAACTAGAGTAGGCCCATTTGAATCAATGGAACTTATGAAGGATTTGACTCTCTAATCACCACCACCCTGATTCAACAGGTGTACTCTAATGAATTTCACTATGCTAAGCAACAGGATGTCAGCCACAGAACCATATAGCTGAAAGGTCATCTAGTTAATCTTCAGCTACAAATAACTATTTTAAAACATCTTTCTTTTTACCCGATTTAGTGAGAGAATGTATGGAGTCTACTGCATGTAGGTGTAGGGCATACTGCAGTTCAGACAAACATTCTGGCAATTATTCTTTATGCCAGAGTCCAATTTTATAATATGGAGACCATGCTTTAAAGAAATACAATAACCTTTGAACATGTGCAGAGTTTAATCTTCTCCCAAATATCATTTAATGGTTCTTTAGAACCTCTTTCATACTGAAAGACCAATGTGTGCTGCTCTTTCAGTTTTTATATAACAGCCAGAATCCAAGTGAATACTTATATCTGTGTTAAGTGTCTTGGCATGTCACAGAGCAATGAACAGCATGTAAGTTCCTAACTGAATTCGAAGTAATATGTCGAGTCACATAACTGTTGCACTTACAGGAATTCAATTGTGGGCTTATTAATTATTGGCAATTCACACTCCTTGTTATCTCAATGCATTTCTAGAGACACAAATATTTACTTGGATTCTGGCCACTGTCCTGAAATTCATCCTGCCTCACCAACTGGGAGTGAAATTAAGATGGTGATAAGAACAATAAAGGGAGTTTAGGAAATGGAAAATGTACTACTTTCATAAAATACAGACATCTGTTCAGAATCCTTTGCATGCACTTCTTACAAAATTATTTTAAAAACAAGTTGTTGTTGTTCTTATACTACAACTGCTTTGCCAGAACCCTAGTCCACATATACACAGAGTTTACATCTGGTTAAGTCTTATGTATGGCATTTAATAACTTATGCAATCAGAAGCTTGAATCATTCCTACGCCATAAATTCAAGAAGCACTTAAAACTTTTCCCCTCATATTGCTTATTAATTGGATTTCTAACCTACCTTCCTCTCAACATGAAACTGAAGGTAGCTCATAGTATGAATGAACAAAAATTCAGCTGGAACACAAAATAAGTTCATATAGTAAAAGTAAAGTCAAGAAAAAGTAAATAAAATTACATTTTAAAAATAGAGCATTCATTTCCCAGTAACCAATTGTCAAAATCTGGCTGGGTAAAAATCTTTGCCTGCCAATGGAAAGAACAAAAGAGAAGAGGCAGCCATTACTTCCTTGCTTGCACATCTTGCAGGTTAGAACCAGCCACCAGGACACTCTTGTGTGTCCCTGCCAGAAAAACTTCTGAGGGTGGAAGAGTCTCCGCAAATATCTCAAAAACAAAAATATGAGTAGGCTCACATGGAAGAATACAGCTCATCTCCCAATTCTTTTGCTTATTCTCTGCTATGAAGAACTAGTATACAGGTATTGTTGTTTTTTGTTTTTTCTCCAGATTTACAAAAGTGACTACAATGCTGCACAGGACATATACAGAATAAGGAAGGAAACAAATACAGACCTACAGAACTAATTTTCAATCCATAATGTTTTCAATTACACACTTAAGTTGCACTGGTGGTGCTCAATATATAGTTTGAAAACTGCTTTTAGATTTCTACAAAATAATTTCTAAGATTAAAACTCTATCCCTTATCCACTATCCTCATCTACTGACACACATCTGACAATATCAGCGAAGAAACAGAACACAGCAGAAGCAAGCAAGCAATCAAAAAAGGAAGAAATGTTGTACACTAAATACTAACTGCTATATTTTAATGTGAGCTTTCATGGACACAGTCCACTTCTTCAGACTTAAGAATGAAAGTACAGTACATGGCAATTGTTTATACATGGCTACAAAATAAGGAGATCGTGTTTGGTTAGTAGGCACAAGTTGCAGACCGTGTGAGTCAACGTGGCATTTCACATCTGGTAATGATTTTAAGATTACATCTCAAACTACCTTACCATATTATTCCTATATGTCTAAAAGAATAAGTGGAAAAGAAATAACAATGAACATACCTCACACCATTAAAAGCCTAAATCTTATTAAGTATTTGTCTTGAAAATTCAGCACTCAACATGCACAACCAACTTTGTATCACTGTGAAGGAAGTAGAGACGTTTTAATAAGTCAGGTCTGGCCTGTGCTGTGTATTTCACAGAGCCTTGCAAACCTGGATTGCAAATGAAATTTATCCCTCCCAAAAAATGAGCAATCCATGCCTGCTTGCGGGGCTCGCTGGAATAATAGTATGAAATTGCTTAGTAAGCAAACAGTGTGATTAAACAGAAACAATGTCCTCAAAAGCCACCTACAAAAGGCACTTCGAAGTCATAAAGTTTCAATCCAGGAAAGAAACAAAGACAGAAAGGGGTCAAATATAACATAAAGTTGAAAGATTAAAAATAAGAATAAAATAAAAAGGGGGGGAGCAACATTGGGTTTTGTATATGTGAACTTCAGTGGAAAAAGATCTACTTTCCCGAAGTGTCAGTGACTAACAACTAAACCAATTAACATAAAGCAGAACAGGAAAAAAATTATACAGGCAATCATGTACAACAATGTTATTTAAGATTATGCCTCGTTAGGAACTTTTTTCTGAGTAGGCAGTGCCAGAGACTAAAATCCTCTTGCTAAGTGTTTACAGTCGTACCAGAGTAGGTGCACTGAATCAATGGGGATTTAGTGAATCCTTCTGTAAATTCCACCAGTTCAAATGGACCTGCTCTAATTGCCACTTTCCTTAGCAAAGTAAGTTGCAACTAGAGTAGGGCTATATGAATCAATGGAACTTACAGAGGAGTTGACTCACCAAATCCTCGCGGATTCAATAGGCCTATTCTAGTAGTAAAACGTATTATGCCAGGCAACAGGATTTCAGCCAGAGTATACCACACATGATACAAAGAGAACTACCTGGAGTATTACAGCAAGCGACATTCAAAAACTCTATGACAGTCACCTGGGAATTTCCTGTCTTCGGTTGCTCCTTAGTGCACTCCCATGCTCCCAGTACAGGATTAACAAAGTTTTCAGGGACTCTGCTACTATCATTCAAATATTCTTCCCAATTCCAACAAGGAGGAATGTCCTATAACTATATGTATAATTATGCCAAAATGTTTACAAAAGAATGCTTTATCAATTTCCATGAGAAGAAAGGTCTTGTGTAATGAACAATTGTCCACTATTGGGCAAGACATGAATGCAATGTGTGCATGTAACTGTGCACACGACTGCAGCCTATATACCTCCTGTACAGCTATGTATTTATTTCCAACACATAGTCTCTATTTCTCACTGAATGCAGACAAAAGGAAATATATGGGCCATCTAATTTAATATTATATCAAAATTCCCAGAAAACTGTTAGGCTATTAAAAGTTACACTATAAAATCCAACTTAAAAACAAACATATCACCACCATTTTTTGCTTTGGAATTTCACTTGAAATGAATACTTCAACTATAGCCCTCCAAATGTTTTTGGCCTACATTTCCCACCAGCACTAACCAGCATAGCTAATATAAGGGATTGTGGGATTATTTGAGTTAGAGTCCAAAAATACCTTGGGGATCAACTGCCCATTCATTAGGCTTGTACCCTCAGCAGACAGAAAATTTTGATAGTTGGGTTTTTACCCTGTTGAGATTACCTCATGTGATCTCATGAATTTAAGCTCAAATGAAATACAAACATGACAATACTGAAGTAACTGACTTCAAATGGATTGAATTAAGATTCAAGTGAAGGTGTAAATACTGGTCCCAAATATTCAATAATTGAATAAAGATCTTGAATAAACATGTGGATCCCAAATATCACATGTAATCTCCCTGTAAAAACTAGTTAAGGAGAAACTGAAATTTGCTTCTGGTAATTAAATTCCAAATGCTGAACATCAACAAATTATCCTGACACAGAAACCATTTAGGAAGTTGGCCTGTTTGGCTCTATTTAAATCTCAGTGCTGTGACTACATTCTCCAATATTTTAAAGACAACCCAAAATGTTTTGTTTTTCCTGCTTACTTTAGACACAGGGAAACAGCAAGAAAATGAGGAGAGTGCAACCAAGAGTGCTTCCTACACTGGATCCTTAGACTCACCAAGTGCTTCTTAATCCAGGATTACTATCACTCCAGCTCCCTCACTCTCAATTAATGCAGATTATAATCCATATCCAAAAAACAAATGTTGAAAAAGCAGACTGGGAGGCATCTTATCCTACCACTGTCTTTAAATCACCCGGATTTGGAATATAGGGATGTGATTAAGAGACCATTCGTTCCTCTTGAAGAGTAGAGCCTTCAAACGTAGAGTGTGCATGAACAACAAAAGTCCATCACTGAAGGACTGCTTCTGATCAGGCCGTGCGCCGATAAAAATGGAAGCAGATTATCTCCCTCGAATCCCATCCCACTCCTGGGAATAAGGATTTTGGGTGTGGGTGGGAGCATAAAATGGGTAACCAGGATCTCTCTCTTTTTTTGCCTTTAAAAGTCGCATAGGGCTTATGGGAGAGGCGAACTGGGCCCTTTGAACCAGGGGGCGGGGAAACCACTAAAATCGCCCTATAAATATAGAGGGGCCACACACAAAAAAATGGGAGCAGCAAGCCTTTTCTATTCTCGAAGGCTTCGTCGAAAGAAAGCCTTCCCTCCCTGGTCCTTCCCCGGCTGAGCTTCCGCGTCCTAAAGATGGGACGCAGGCGCTTCCCAAGAGCGGCTCGCTTCCTTCCGACCCTCCTTCCTCTAACCGATCGCGGCCTAAGAAGCCGCGGTGCTTGCGTGATCCGTTCTCCCGAGCCCCAGCCCGTTTCCTCACCTGCTGGTATCGGCCGCTATTGCTGGGTTCCGCCGCCGCCGCCGCCGCCGCCATAGCGCTGGGCAGGAACTGAGCCAGCGAGAGCGAGAATGGCTCCCCGAGTGCCGGGCGCAGAGAGAGAGAGAGAGAGAGAGAGAGAGACCGGGTGGAGGAGAAGGCCCCGCCAGGGACGGCTCGTTACGGACTCCCGTCCCCCTCCCAATGGGCTCTGCCGTGGGCAGGGAAGGGAAGAAGGAAGGAAGGAGGGCGGCCGCAGCAGCAGCAGCCAGGCGGGTCACTCGCTGCCGCCACAGCAAATGCAGGCCGGGGCTCTTCCTCCTCCTCCTCCCCGCTCCGTCACACTCCTCCTCCTCCTCTTCCTTCAGGCGTCCGCTCTTCAGCTCTTCTTCTCCGTCTTCCGCGGGGCACTCGGGGTTTGTGAGGGGGGCGACCCCAGAGAGCTCATCTTTTCGGCGCCATGCTGTAGTGGGGTTGCGGTGAACTTTTCCTTCAAGGGGATGAGGAGGGAATAAGTTTTGTGTGTGTGTGTGTGGAGGGGAGAGAATACTTCGCTGCTCCTAAGTACCTAAGCAGAGAGCCCTGCTGGATCAGGCCAAGGGCCCGTCTACTGTAGTTCGGTTTCCTGTACTGCATCTCACACAGGGGCCCCACCAGATGCCTCTGGGAGCACATGAGACATCTAGAGACTGTAACCTGCGATGGACTTTTCCTCCAGGAATCTGTCCAATCCCCTTTTAAAGACATCTAGGCCAGATGCCGCCACCACATCCTGTGGCATGGAGTTCCACAGGCTAACAACACGCTGTGTAAAGAAAGATTTTCTTTTGACTGTTCTCACTCTCCCAGTTAGAGTGAATGTCCCCTGGCTGTGGTGTTGCATGGGAGGGAAAAGAGCTTCCCTCTATCCATCCCCTGCAGAATTTTATACAGTACATCTCAGTCATGTCCCCCCTCAGGCACCTTTTTGTCTAGACTAACGAGCCCCAAACACTATAGTCTTTCCTCATGAGGGAGGCGCCCCAGCCCAGTCATCATTTTCGTTGCTCTTTTCTGCACATCTTTTCCAGTTCCACTATGTCTTTTTTGAGGTGTGGCAACAAGAACTCTTCTCTTTTTGCCTCGGGGATTTCCTATTATCTGTAGAGTAACATCCAAATGGTATGCTGTCTATGCATGTCTCACATTGTTGTGCTCAGCTTTTCCTCCAAACAACTCATCATGCCAGCTTTTATCAAAACCATTGTACTGTATGTTCACACTAAATGTGGGAAGAGACTTGTCAACTTTCAAATAAGCTACAACTTGAGCATCTCTCTCAAATAGGAGCTGCATGTTTCACTGAGCCTTCCAGGCCTCGCTCCTAAAGGTGGCCAAACTAAGAGAGGCAAGAAGGTCTACTAGGAAGTAGACTTCCTTGGTCATGGCCCCATCCCTGAGGAATGGACTTCCACTGGAGGTATGCCAGGTCACCTTCCTCCAAGCTTTCAAGAAACCGGTGAAGGCAGAGCTGTTTAGAGAGGCTTTAAAAACCATATTCCCCTGAGGTTATTTATGTATTTATTTCATTAGCTTTATATACCATCCTATTTGTGTGGTGCACTATTCTGGACGGTTCGCAAGAAGTAGAATAACAAGATAGTTAACAAAAACATTTAAAACAATAAAAAAAACAATAGTAACATAGAACTATCAGAAGACAACAGTGTGAAGGTACTTTCTCAATGAGAGCGAAAATTAGGTATAGCATCAACAGGCAGGATCACTGAATCATATGTTACCCTGTTTCCCTGAAAATAAGACCTAACCTGAAAATAAGCCCTAGTATGATTTTTCAGGATGCTCGTAATATAAGCCCTACCCAAAAAATAAGCCCCAGTTAAGTGAAACCCCGCCCTCCACCATTGTGCAGCAATTAGAAGAAGATGACATGGCTGTATCTGCATAAATGTAGATTGTTGTACATGGAAAAAAAGTATCCCCTGAAAATAAGCCCTAATGCATTTTTTGGAGCAAAATTAATATAAGACCCTGTTATTTTTGGGGAAACACGGCATGTTGCCAAATGATCTGCTGAATTTTAATTTAGTTTATTTTGACTCTGTGTTGTGGAGTAAGGGTTGATGGGATCAATATTTGTATATTTCATATTTCTTGCGTAGACTGCCTAAATTAGTAGGTTTCGCTATGTCAGGTGGCATAGAAATCTCATAAATAAATAAACTTGAACCAGGTCTCTGTGTACTCAGAAAACAGGCAGTGTGTAGCACAGCACCATTTGTAGCCATTTACTTACTGCTATCCACTGAAGAGGCTCCAGGGTGATTACAGCAAGGAGGCAATAACCTTAACAATGCATAGCAAATGACAGAAGAAAGTAAGTCAAGTTACCCACCACTGTTCAGTTACTTTATATATCAAGAAGACTGAGGCTCAGATTTGTGCAGCCAGCAATTGTCGGCTTAACCTGATTTTTACCTAATAATGCCTGGCCATCAATGTATTTACCTAAGGGCAGTTCACAGTCAACTACTTTTGACCAAGTGAATATTTCCAGTTTTCCTAAGTATACTCACGGGAGATCAAATGAGGAGAAAGTTCGTGGAACTTGATCACAGCAGTTCCTTCTTTTTGGGACATGCGGCTTTGAACATCTGGCATGACAGCACCTCCTCATTCTGAAGTTGCTACAGCAAAAATCTATCAGTTCCTAGCTCACAAAATACAGTGGTACCTCAATTTACGAACTTAATCCTTATTGGAACGGCGTTCGTACATCGAAAAGTTCGTAAGTCGAGGCAAAGTTTCCCATAGGAATGCACTGAAAACTGTACCGGCTGTTTTTCGTTCTTATCTAGAGGCGCCATTCGCAAGTAGAGGCATTAGTTCCCATAGGAACTAATGCAAAGCTGGTTAATCTGTCCTCTACCACTATGGGGAGATTTCTTCTTCTTCTTCTTTTGACCTAAGATGAACTTAGGTTAAAAAAAGGGCAGGAAAGGTTTTTTCGTTCATAAGTTGAAGCTCCATTTGCAACATTTTCTGACCGGAGCTGTTCGTAACTTGAAATGTTCATAAGTGGAGATGTTCGTAAGTCGAGGTACCACTGTACCTCTGCAATAATTCTGCAAGTGTGGGATGGGCCATTCCAGTTTTCTTCACTGCCCCCAAAATGTTCACACTTTGAACTATACAAAGGCTCTATAAAAACTATATTAACTATATAAAAATT